TGGAGGGTTTGGGGTGCTGTGGGGGTTTGAGGGGCTTTGTCGGGCCAAGCGAACAGCCCAGCAGGGCGGTGGGAGAGGTGGGAGCTGCTGCTCATCTTCCTTGCCTTCCCCCCCAGGGGGGGCTGGGGGCTGTGGGGTGGGGAAGGTGCAGCACCTGGGAGTGGGTGGGCTTGTAGGATTGGTTTGTTTTGTTTTTTTTTCATGGAGTTCTTGAAGGAATTTTGTCCAGGCTTCCTTTATCAGCTTGTTCCTCATCTGTCACTGTTGACAAACATTGCTGCTGGTGGGAGCCCTCCTGCCACGTGCAGGACGTCCTCTTTCCATAAGACTTGTCTTGTGAGAAGAGTGCAGCATGACATTAAATTGATATAAAGATCTTCTTTATTCATTTCCAAGTGGTTAGTGAGTCATCTCTGCTGGCTACTTGTCCAAGATACTTGTTTGTGCTTGTCTTATTCTCACAGTTCTGATCTGAAAGTTGAAGTGCTGGTGAGCTCTTCTCTTGGCCTGTGTAAGAAAAGCTCCACATAAACTGTCAGAATAGAAGTGAAGAGTTTGTTAAAATGTGGCATCCTTGTTTGTTTATGTAGTTCTGTGACTTCCAAGAGGTGGGAACTAGTTGTTTTCTGTGGGTTTCAAAGCTGTGTCACTCCAGTGGGGCTGCTCTTCTGTTTGGTTACTTCTTGTCAAGGATTGCTAGTCAAATATTGCATCTTTCCAAGCCTGCTTATAGGGCTTTGCATCTGTGTGGGCATCATTAATTAAATATTCCTGACATAGGATACATATTTCATCAAATATCCTGCTTGTTGTTTCTAATACAGAGCACTTACAACCTCCTTTTTTTATATATATAAATTTAAATACCTACCCTGACCCAGTTTGACTTTGCTGGTGAATGTGTTACCAACTGCCCTTAAGTATCAGGGCTTCAAGGAGAGGCTGGTTGCTCGTCCGTAATGACAGTGTGGACTCTTGGTTCAGGATTTCAGGCTGCAGAGGTTGTATGACATTTGCTGTCCTTAAAAATAAAACTTTAATCAGTAGTTTCCAACCTGGGGAAGGGATGACGTGTTCCAGGTGGGGCACAGAGCAAGTTAATCAACCTCTGCTCTGTGTTAGGAGGTGGGAAGTGATGGTGGGAAGAGGAAGGGTGAGGATGAAGAGCAGGACCTGGTAAAATAATGAGGCTGGCAGTTTTCTTAAGTGAGTCAACTGCAAAATAACTGTGAGCCAATGATTATTCATTTTTTTAAGATAGGAGAAGACCCAAACCTTCACCCAAAACCCAGAGCCTTGG